TTGCGGCTTGGTTTCAAGTTACATGTTCACAGAGTATTTCAATAACTGAAATAAATTAACACAAGTTCAAACTACCTAATGCTCAGTTTCTTTGTAACAATCAGTTAGAACCTTAGTAATAATACTTATATCGATAATTAGCTATTGTGAGCAACTGTTGCTACATACGGACTTCCATTGTCCTTTTACGATGACTACATGATTAATTGTTTTGTTTTTATTTCTTATAAATTGTTGACTTTTTATGACATCAAGTTACGTTTCAAGTAGTAGATATTTGAATAATTATTATAGTTCTAATCGTAAATTGATCTTAGTTAGACAACCATTGATAGCCTAAAAGCATTGAAAGGTCGCTTCGTCCTAATACGTGGCTCCTCATCAGTAAGCATTTACGAACCCCTATCTGGGAATCGAACCCGAGACCTTAGGTCTCATGCAAACCCCTTAACCTTTAGACCACTGACTTGGCATCGAATTAAATCCATACCTAACTTCAGTCATTTCACGATATTAATCCACCGTCGTCCATTTGCATTCGAAACTATGAAAATTCTACCACCTTTACAAACTTCTGTATATTACTTTCAATCGTTATTTACTTGTTGTTTTTTTCCGAAACTATTTGCTTAAGCTTATCGAATTCTGGATTACTTTTTCTTATCATAATAAAACAAATAATGCATGTATTTCAATGAAAATTTTCACTTTCATTTTTATGAGTCGTTTCTAAGTTTGATATGACGGACAAACTCCATGAGATTCAGGTCTTACATTCATTTATATGCTAGTGAATAACCTACAGTCATTAAATCTTTCAATGCATTTTAATTATGTTTATTTTTATGTATGACGTATACTTTCCACTTGTTCTGTCATGTCATTTGTACTTCCATTCGTATTAATTTTTTACTGTTGCATAACTTTTTTGACAATTGGTACCTTTATTTGGCTTATGATATCTTTGTTATTGACTGAATAATTTCATATTTTCTTATACACTACTTCATGTGTATTCATTCTGAATACGATTGTTCAGTTTCAGTAAATGACGTCATTGAGGAAAGATTTTCATCGCTGAACTCTATTCATTCGACATTTGGTTATTCATAGGTTTTGTAGCAATAACTCGGTCATTTCGTGAAGTTGTCGCCAAGTCAGCATGTTTTGATCATATGAGTTCAGTGCAATCGATTGCATAATTCCTAAATCATATAGTAGTTGTTTTTTTCATTTCAATAGTTTCATGTTTTTATTGCTTGTGTATTTAACATCTTGTCTTTCTTATATGTATGTTTTTAATTTCTCAATTCACACAGTTCATCATGATCAATATCACTAAAATCAAAACATGACTGTCATGAATTTGCTTGTATCTTCTTTCTATTTTTTATTATTTTATGATTAATATTTTTTTATCAGATGTACATTTTGATGAATGCCAGATATAAATATCACAATCGAAATAGCATGTTTGTTAATATTTCTTGTTAGTTTATGTACTATAATTCAAAATGAAAAGAATATTTATGTACCTAGGTATATATATATATATATATATATATATATATATATTGATGGTGGCACTATCTTAAATACTCATAACATGTGTATTTGCTAAAGCTAAAAGGGTCACGTAATAAAAAGTGAAAAATAATACTATACCTTGAACCGATTGATAGACAGAATTCATATGTAAAATGTTCATCAGAAAATAAGAATTTTATCGCGGTTATCATGATAATAATCATAATGATATAAATAACAATAATCATTAATATCATTCAATATAAGAAGAGAGGTTAATCCTATTAGATTGCACTGATAAAATTTGACTTTTAATGACGTTGAAGGCAAATAAAATAGTTATGTCTATCACTTTTATATAATTAGGCTAAATTACATTAAGATGATGCTGATCGCTTCTGCTATACCGAGATGGTGTTATATTGCACTACTTTACCAAAGTGATATGCACTTGATATCTAACTGAGAAATTGTCTTCATTATTGTGTCCATTGTCAATAACATACAGAAGTTTAGATTTAGTGACTTTAACTTCACCAGTTGCCAATTTTGTCAGTATTTGTTCTTCGATTGACATGAAATCCACTGCTTCAAATTGATAACAAAAATATTCATTTATGCCAAGCTTATAATGTAATCCAGTGTTATATAATACTGATGAGAAGCCTCATGTTAAGTGGAAGCGACCTCTTAATGCTTTTAGGTTTACAATAGTTGTCTATCTGTCAGATTTTTATTTACATACTATCAAAATAAGGGGGCATTGAAAGAGATTTACTGATTGTCAAAAGATCAGTCTGATTCAACTACTCAATGTATGTTAGTAGGGACAATGTAAGCATGACACAAATCAAATGTGTATTTAATATAAATAGATATGTTGTGTGTGTGTAATGCAAATATATTAATTACTATGACCTTTTGAACAATTTCTGCTGACAGCTTTTTCTTTGTATGAATTTTATCAGTATCTTTTCTAAAAGTATCGTTTCGTTGGATTATTTATACGATATTAGGTATAATTACATTTCTTTCACATTGTTTTCTATTACTTAATGGTGTAAATACTAAACAAATTAAATAATTTTAAAAACTTCCATATTGTAAATTCGAACAATATTGTTTTCAGTTAGATACTCTAGTCTTTAATTATACAATAGTATTTATATGCATTGGTGAAATTATTCAACCAATCAAAGAGGTTTGTGAGTCAATGATAACAGTGGAAAGGTTACGTAACGCCACTCATCGAAGAAATAATTTTTTTAGTGACGTAATGACTTTTAAGGTTGAAAACTAAGCGAAAGTTATCTAAAATACTTAATTACAATTGTTTAAAGCTTGAAAATAAGTCAAGCAATATATCACATTAATTTTGTCAAAAAGCCTGTCACTACATACTCAGCGCCAATATCAAACTAGTGGCCAAAACGTTTATAACTTTATATTAGTATTTTTCACATGAATAACGTTCGTTGGAGTAAATTGACAATTTTTCATATAATTCCTTTAGTTGTTACAGCTTTGTAACAAGTCGTTGTTTAAATTATTTGTGTCCGTCTGTCAAAGATCTTTGTTTGTTTCTTATATTTTATGTTAACGATTCATACATATGTTCTCAGATTGTTAGTTATTAATTCGGTATATTTGATATTAACTTGTTTTTCCGCAACTATTACGCATTATCTTGCCTTGTGTTTTCAATTTTCAACAAATTTCAACAAAAGTCATTTTACTTTGTATATATTTCATTTAGAAACGTTGGTTGTATTCCCCCAACACTTTTCTGATTTTTTTTACTCAGCTGCAAAAAAAGTGTTTAGCCAATTTTTTGGCTGTACAATTTTAGTATAAGAATGGGGATTTGTGAAGGTTATAGTAATTTTAATAGTTGAATTCGTGAGTCCATCTAAGCTAGACCACCATTGAAAATCTGGAAACACTGAACAGATGTTTCTTTCTAGTATGGGACTCCTCAGCAGTGCGCATCCACAATCCGGCAGGCAGTACTCAAACCCGGAATCTTCGGTCTTTCTTGCGAACGCTTAACCTCTAGACCACTGAGCCGGCATCCAACGTTGTTAATGTCTAACTTCAATCAGAATGGTTGATGCGCACTACTGAGGAATCCCATACTAGAATGAAACAGCCGTCTAGTGCTTCCAAGTTTTCAATGGTGGTCTAGCTTAGATCGACTCATAACTTCAACTATTAAAATTTTATTTAGATCAAGTATCGTTTGTTTCATCCATAGTTTGTAAGTAAAATTATTGATACATTTTTAAAATAATAGATGAACTTTAGATTTCAGGTTTAATTATGTAAATATGATATTTTTATTTTAACGTTAAAGTGTTTCCTAGGAATTTTACGCTTTCTATATATTAATTTTTTCTCCAACTTATTCTTCATTCCATTTCAACAGTTCACTTTGTTGAATTAACTTTTCATAAATTTAATATTGTAAATGGTATTCTTAGAAAATGTATTTATATACAAAAAATATCATGCATCATATTCTTCTAGAATTATTAATTTAGAAGTATATAATTTATGTGTACTTTTGTTTAGGTATAAATATGCGAAATACGTTATCATGCTGTTTTGTACTTATATATATCAGAAATGATTAAAAAGGAAGTGAATAATGATGATGAAAGGAACAGCAAGTGTTCCAATTGTTATATTTTTATAGTTGTAATTTTGTCAATTTGGTGCTCAAAAAAATATGTGCCGGTTTATTAAGCATAAAGTCAAATAGATAGTGTAAAGTTGTGAAAATGGCATATTTTGTAGCTTATGAATGTTATCAATGGTTTAGAATGTTGGTTTTTTTAAAAGTTCCACTTTAACTTTAGAACAGATCAACATTCTGCCTGATATACATATGCATTGTCCAAATTTACCGTAATACATTATATAAGTTAAAAGATGAATCGTAAAAAAATAAATGTAATATTTTGTAATTTGTAACGATCAGGACTAAACATTGAGGATGTATTCCTAGAATAAACTTTAGTTTACATTGTGTAAGCTTTTCACATGTTAACAATTTATCTATGAGAATACAACATTAACAAATAAATCGATTATGAATAAGGAAACTGACTCGGTGGATTATACGTTTTAAATTACTAAGTTGATGTCCTTTTCAAAAGTAAAATCTTATGTATTGATAACATAAAGGGTTTGTGAATAATGTTCTATTTGAGAATAGTTTATTTCGCAAACTGACTTGAACTAGACGTTCGATAAAAAACCAGGAGATTTTGAAGATCCGTTTTATCGTAGTTACACGTACTCCCGTTGCTTGAGAAACGTCCTATCTTATTCCATATATATTTAATATTACAAGGTATTCTTCTCAAAGTGAGTATTGTGTTTATATAGATATGTCAGTGTTATAAATATTCTCCTTATTGTTCAAATTCCATTTAGTAATTTGCACACTGTTACTTTGTTTAAACATTCAGATTATTGATAAATCAAAACGGGATGCCCGTGAGGAAGTTGAAATATTGCTTAGACACCATAATCATCCAAATATTGTTTCCGTTCGAGATGTAAGTTCGTTAAATTTATTCATCATTTTCCAAAATACTATTATGATTATCAGTTAATTTAACTGTTAATTTAGTGTACGTTTATTCATTTTACAACTAGCTGTTATCGCATCGCTGGCGTTGTCTAAAATGTAAGCTATTCCAAATCACATTCCATTTCTATAGAGTGGTTAATAAGTGTGAATTAGTGTAAGTTATTTTGATGTAACTGACATGAAGCGCGAGACCTGAGTTTTACATTTGTTGACACTTGTCAGTGTGGAATATTGGGATTTTTAAAGTTAATGATTTTTACTTTCGTACTAGAAGTTGGGTCGTCCAACATTATAATTTAAAAACGTGTTCACTTCAGTCTAAATGGCTTAATGTCAACGCATCTGACAGTGACGCTGGGTGACGTAAACTATGATATCATAATAAATAACAGTTCCCTCTTAGAGTCCAGATACACTATGCTTATGGGTCTCAAGAGAAATGCAAGACCAATTTACAGCGCTTCATGTCCATTATTTCCAACCAACTTACTTTAAAAATAGTACATTTAGTGTCAGCTGCTATAGACTAGTAGCTGCATTGAACCATGATCGATAACATTATATCGAAACTTGGGACAAACTTATGATTGGTCACTACTCAATGATCAGTAAGTGAACAAATACACTATCTTTACAGATTCTAGTTCCTTTTAATAACATGTTTCACTGTAATTGTTGACGACCCATTTTTTCCACACTTGATAATTTATGCTCAGTTTTATTTTTAACTGAAGTAGTAAGTCCTATTATTGATGAGTTCACATATTAAATAAATGTGTTACTGATATTTCTTCTTGAGAAATAAAATATATTTCACTCTTAATTAGATCTAATCATTTCTTATAGGATTTAGTTTAATTTGTATCTTTACTCACATGACTAGAAAAAGAAAAGTAGTCTTTAATTATTCCGCGTAAAAGTTAAAATTAGACAATGTTATAAGGAATTCTACATATGACAAGTTGCATATTGTTTTAGTAAAAGATTAATTAAACATATATTAAAAATTTGAACCATTGTATGGCGAATTAGTTGTCTGAAAGCTAAATATTTTCTACTAGACTTGAAATGTCTGAATTCTCTCCCTGTGCTAGTCGTGGTTCCTCATTGGTAAAGAATTCCATACTTCGATAACACAGGTGTTCAGTGCACTTCGGTTTATAATCATTCACAAATCAACATTAATCTCCGTAAAAATCTCCAAAACATTATTCAACAGTAAAGGTAATAATGCTACAAAATCAATATTGTGACTTTATGTCCGGCTTTTAATCACGTGATTTATCCAATAATCAAAATACGACTTATACAATCTTAATACTGTGCCAAACCAATGACATTCGACCGGTATAAGCAGCCTAGCGTCCTTATTGGTCCTATGTCCGCTTAGCCCGTCCACTTGAGTCCAGAACACCAATACCAGCTTCCAATATGCGAATCGAATCATTTATTTCAGACATACTGAGTTTATTTATCAATCAAACAGACCGCAACGCACCATAAAATAGGAAATAACATTTGTACACAATAAAGCCAAAAAAGTGGCTGTGAACATGGGAGGTAGTAGTCAATAAACTGAACATAGCTTAGGAACAGTAAGTCGTACAATAATAAATTATAGGTCAGAATAAAGCTTATAATAAGGGAAATATAAATATACATAATCTAATTATTGAATAGTTATACCATAAGAATGTATAGATCATATTAGTCAATTAATATGTCTCAAAAACTACTCGTGATTTAATCTTCGCACGGATATAACAACCAATATCATAAATAACGCGATGAATTGAAAATACTTTTTATAATCTACAAATTCTTTTCATCATCTTTTAAATCTATTTTAATTTGATATAAAAACAAAGAATTTTTTCCATTTAATTTGATAAATAAATAAGTTAATAAAAATATACGAGAATATTCACCTTGTAAGTGTTTTCAACACATTGTGACAGATTAATTAAAAAAAAACCCAGTGTTATTTCACTTCAGCTGATCATTAAAAAAATGTCTTTTGAATCTAATGATAAACACCTTATTGGTATGATTTGTCTCTTTTACTATAATACACAAAGAAATATTTATTAAATTTTAATGTTAGAACTCACTAAGCCAAAAAAAGACAGTTAAAACATATTTCATTGTGTTATCGTTCTTTTAAAGATTTTTTCCACAAAAAAATTAGTCAAATATAGAGTATACTTGATTACTTTCGATAACGTTTAGAAACTTCAATTATAATTGATATAAAGTATTCTAATAATGGCTGGTTAATTGATTTTCCTAACATAAAATATCAACCAATCGGGATTTGCTTGAATAAATAAAAAGTATTTCAGAAAATTTTAAGCATAAATTAACTATATATATATATATATATATATATATATATATATATATATATATGATGTTTAATAGTTTATCTCACGAATTGACCTCATTTAGACAACCATTAGAAACCAGAAAGCGTAAATTAGTTTTCTCCTTCTAGCATAGTACTTTCCAGACTTGAATATCCACGATTTAGGCAGAGATCGAAACCATGACCAATGCTTCCTTGTTTCCTATAATTGTCTAAAGTTATTTCGTTGTGTAAAGGATGAAACATAACGATTTCTACAAACTCCACCCATTGTGTTGATATACTGCCTTTATTTTTTTAAAAATGATAATATAATAGGCGAATTAAGTGATAGTTTATGTGAAACAGATCAAGTTTATCTTTCTATTGATTATGAAGAAGTTGTTTTCTCAATACTTTGATCCACAGGGATATATATGTTTTACGTAATGAAATATCTTTTCTAAAACATATTGCTCGATAAAGACAAAAATAATCAGTAATTGTGCAGTCAATGTTTCAACAAACCTTTACTTCCCCAATCCGCTACACACATATAACAGTAAAAAATAAATTTAAGAAATATTTGACTATAGACTACTTATCGTAATTGTTTAATGTAGGAAATAAATGTTTATTCTTTGAAGTTGGTAATAGCTCTGAAAACGCAGAAACATAAAATCTAAACGCAATCAGTTCAGTATGTGTGGTACTGTGTGGAAATGTTTAATTTTAATGTCCTCATTAAATTCACCAACAAAAGGTTTCTTGATTCAAGTCTCTTACATACCGACTAGTGCGTATTACAGAATATTTGACATCCTGTTTTAGTAGTGAAATATATAGAAGCCGATTTAGAAGGAACATTTGTATATGGCACTTTATTATTGTTTGAATAAATTGTTTGTTACACAACTATCAGCAGATTTAGAAATAGGCTTCCAATTACAATTTCTTTGAAAAATAAGTAACCTCTTTATACAACGTTTCTAGTTAGATATCTAAACAAGTAACAATGATTACAGAATTTATATCAAAATTATAATTATAAACATATGTAAGACATATTCATAGTAATAGTGTGGTGAACGAGAACACAAGTGGGGAAAACCGATTTATTATTCAATGCGAAATTACAGAGTGCTTCAGTAAAATATGAAAATCATACATTAAATACATCATTTGCACATCTTTGTGTTGTCCTTTATCTACTACACTATTCCTCTAATTCCGTTTTTATTTTAATTGCTCTCCGATTTGCTTTGTGTTCTCTTTAATTCAATCTTCTGCTCCCAGGCATGACAACTTTCGATCGTGGCTACATACTACTGACATCTGACAGCATAAGTAGCATACACTACAATATCATCAGTCATTTTTAATAATTATAAATAAGTGCAAATAAATCCATCTTGTATGCTGTCAACAAATTTACACGTTGAATTGCATACCAATGATAGATTTACTATGCATAATTAATACAAATCAACCGATAAATCAATCAATGATCTAATTTTGAGTAGGAAACAAGATTTTAACCTCTTAAGTTTCAATTTGATATGGAGTGTTTTGGTAATTTGTGTATCTAAACACTTTAAATCATACTTTATATTTACTATTAGTAGACGATAAGTAAGAATAATTGGGCAAATTTGAACAACTCTTTCAATTGATAATTCATTAATGTGAATAGAACTGGCTAATGTATGCAAATGACCTTAGTTTGTTTAGATCAACACCTTTACATTCTATGCAAATATTATTTTGAAAATTATATTAACAGTATTATTGTCTACAAGAAATGTGGTAATAAATATTTACTATATATTCATAAAAAAATTAATGATAAATAATAGTTTTAAGAATAATTATTGTTATGAAATTGTATATTGAAGTATAACAGAATTAAAGATTAATAGTTATGAATTAAATCTCACTTATAACTTGTTCAGAAAAAATTCTTTCGTTTGGCAGCCATCATTAGACATTTTGCAGTTGACCTTCTTTGTTATATACAAATTTATTTAAAGATGAATAAAAGTACCATTTTAAACATAAACAGTAATTTATTATTCATAAGGGTTTATATTTGGTCATTATTGATATCTCAGATTGAAATTTTAAATTTGTTAATGCATGTACATTTTGAACAAAACCCTCGATATTCTCAGCATTAACAAGTGTTTTCGATTTACATTTTTATATCATGATTAAGAGTGATATCCTGGACCAATTTTCCACTTTATTTAAAACTCATCAGTTGCATTTGTCAGACTTCTAACGTTAGTATACTCACTGAGACTAGAATCTGATAGCTAACGCTTTAAAATTCATCTTTGGATATCAACAATACAACACATAATCGTTTAGGAATGATGTATGTGATACTTGGTTAGTGTGTTAGTAGCTATCCAGATTTGACAGCTTCAGGCTAACTTGTTTATTTTCAAAGCTTTTTCTCGTGAGCAACAAATCATTCTCATTATCTCACTCTTTTATCACTTCATAGTTTTTAGAATTTATGTTTACAACAGTTTTCGCTAAAGGATATTAAGCTTCATCTGTGTACACAAAAACAATTTGTTTACAGTCTAAACTTAGCCAATTAATTCTTAATTCATTCTTCAATTTCGATAGTAGTATTTTTTTCTTAATACCATTACTGCCTACCTTTCATTCTTAACTTGTAACTTTCCACTTATTCAAATCAACCATGTTTACCTCTTTTAAACTTCCTAAATTTATATAAACTGTACAAATACCTCTAGATTTATAAATCACGTTTTTTTGTAAGTTGTTTTCTCTTTTCCTAGTACAGCAAAACTGATACAATGGGGGAATAAAAATTTTTATGTTTTTTCCTGTAATGCTTCTATAATACGGTAAGACAACGGGCGATCGAGATGATACTACCACCAAATTTTTTACTAATTAGGATAGATTGATCCTCTGTTCATAGACCGCACGATAGGTCAGATAGATGCAATATTCACAACCAAGTGTAGAGGTCTAGGATATAGACCAAACAATGCTATAACTATAAAAACTATAACAGTCAACATTCAGTGAGTTCAGAGTAGAATTCAATATATAGGAAAGAAAACCATGGAAAATAAATGATCAGTAATTTGTATTTGTTATTTCACACTCAATGGCCAATCACATTTATTTTCACTATCCACACACCAAATAATTAGAAAGTAAAGATGATATCCAGTTGGATTCAAGGATCTTCTGATGTGCTGGCTTAGGAAACAAACAGTTTAACTTTTAACAACTAGATCGCACGTTCTCGTTCTGCTAGGCCTCCTTAACTTTGAACAAATTGGTAGTATCACTAGCTCTTACACTTAAATTGTGGCTGAAAGTTGAATTTATCCTTAGTAAATGAGTAACGTTAGCATCAAAAAGGGATAAGGGTAATTCATATCTACTTAGAAAACTCCGCTAGTTGAAATATATCTTAATATTGATATTTTCAAGTTTTATTTATGGTAAAGCGTTGTTATATTAATTAAACAGTATTATTTTAAATCACTTGAGTTCATACTCTATTTTGTTTTCTGTATTGCTTGTTCCAACAATCTAATTGTATCACTAGCCTTCAAAAACATTAGAACCATATGTTTATTGTTTTTCTTTTATTTGTTTTTCTTTCAATTAGGTTTATGAAAATGAGAATTTAGTTTATCTTGTTATGGAATATTTAAAAGGTGGTGAATTATTGGATAAAATTTTCCGAGAAAAATTTCTTTCTGAACGTGAAGCTAGTAATATCACTTATGTGATTGCAAATACTTTAAGTTATTTACATAGTAATATGGTAAGTTGGCGAATATTTTTTTAAAGAAATATTTAACTTCCAAATAAAATTATTCTTCGACTTGTTTTTTGACTTTCTGTATAAATATTTTGTGTAATCTTTTCAACAGTTCACTAGTTCTATGTGTGTATATATACTGTGCTGGTCGATGCTATACAACACTAAAATAAATACTTGAAAAAAATCCAAACACTAGTGAAATACTGTTTGTACAAAAATAGAACAACATTTATTAGACAGTCTCTAAATTTGTAAGATAAAGTAGAAAACCTCTCAGCTTATGCATGTTACTTGAATGCATTTAATGCGAATTTATTATAACTTCATTTCACATTCATTAGTTAGTGTATAGTACAATTACAAATTTTCGTTACATTCATTTCGTGAATTTCATCGAACGGATTTATAGCATTTTCTTAATTTATGAACATTTGCGTAAATCTTTCGTCACTTCTCTCTTTTTCTTAACAAATTATATTTCGTTATCTCCAATTGTCATCTTTCAAGAAATGTTATTTAAATAGCAATGTGAATAGGTTGGAGGTTCATTCACCAACCAGTTCGTGCCATTTTGTTTTATGGCTGTATAATGTGGTCCTTATAATTTTTTATGTCACAACTATTTGATGATAGATGCTTCAGAAGCTTTTTCCGAGATATAGTAAGATCTTCAAGTGAGTATTGGTAAAGTGAAAGCAGGTGACTGGGTAAAGATGAATGTGAATGTTCATCGACTGTAGTCCTCGGGACATTTTCTACGTATACCCAACAATCGAACATATCGGTCGCTGTGAGAGCTGATGTAAGAGTAAGAAGCACGAAAGTTCTGAGTGATCGAATCAGCTTGTGGCAATAATCTATAAAGTCAATAATTGTTGAATAGAGCAATTTAAGTAGGTATAAACTATCTGCTTATGACTTACCGAATTTTCGTAACTACCGATTAGTAAATTAAGGTAGATCTTTTCCAAGAACATAATTTCTACTAGAATCATATTTTCTATACTTGATGTTTCCTCATACCTCCTAACTGTTTGTACTGATATTGCCGTAGTATCTTGCTCTTCTAACGTGATGTGGTATTGCAGCATGAACAGATGCAAATATTTCCCAAGTTCTATTTTACATATAACTGACTGTGAATAGTAGTCTCAATTCGTAAATCTTGTTTTCATCATAAATAATTTTATTTTTGTATCGACCAAGTCCGATTTGTTGATTTTCTTTTTTCCCTGATCAATGATTCTAATAAGAAAAACAACTGCCAGTTGTTGGTTAAATTCTTCTATTCAACTAAATGAAATAAACAGAAATGCGACCATCATGTTTTATTGTCTCAAGTAAACAGCAACTATATTACATTAACCTTCTTTATATAGTTATCAATACATTGAGTTCATTAAATTGTTTACATTTATAAGCTTTTAAATTGTTTGCTATAATATGTTCATACAGACATATAATGAAGGAATATTGATTTACTCAATGAGTTAAATAATTCTAAACATTTTTCTGCAAAATATTCATGAAAAAATATAAACTGAATAGTTTAATGCTGATGGGTAAATAACATCAATCATAGAAACAAACAAAAAATATGTTGGGCAGATAAATGTTTTTTTGAAAATCCTCTTTAAAAAAGAATTCGATTTTATACACTAAGTATCTGTAAACGATGATGTACCATTGTAATAAATATACACTTGGGTAGGGTAAGGTTTAAGGTAGGTTTTTTATAATGAAAAAATAGCGTTTTACAGACCTCAAAGATGTAGAAAAATAATATTCACTAATGAGGTATATTCTAAGTTCGTTTTAGGATTCTAATTATCCTAACTTTTGACGATAGTTTCAGATGTTTCAATTTGTTCTGTAATTGTTAATGTCCAAAAAAAGATAAATTTTTTGTTATATCCCAATGATTAAAACGTTTTAGTCCTGACGTTTCGTGACTAAATGTGAGCCACTTCTTTAGAGTTATTAAATAACCGAATTAAATTCCCACAAGTTTAAATAGTACAAAGGAAACAATGCAGAATATTTTTAGTACAATCAAAACCACAATAGATCTGAATGTCAGTGTCAAGTTATTCTTGGTCAACGTGAATCTTTATAACCTGTCACTGTATAAATTTGTACTTTAGAATATGGGAACCAAAAATGTATGCATTTGTAATATGAAATATTGGTATTGAAGACGCATAAAATTAGAGCTTTCTATAAGACAAGTAACATACTAAAAAATGCTTTAGTTAGAACAAAAGATAAGATCTCGTTCACTTCCACAGAAAATTGTGTCGGCAAATTAGTCTGTGTCGATTGTGATACATTCTACATTGAAGAGTCTTCCCGTGAGATTTGGACTCATACCAAGGAACACTTAACTTACATAAAAAGACCTAATAATTGGAAAACTTAAATTAGCAATAGAAGTACATGCTATATATCAAAACTGTTCAGAAAGGCTTTTACGACTATAAAGAGAGGTCAATAACCGAAGCGTCTCACATAATGCTAAATCCCTCTACCCTAATTAAGAAAGAAGGTCTGAATATTCATCCAATCTGGTCTGTTTATCCAAACGTTCACATTTGGTAATTAAAATAACTCACTCCGTCAATTAATAGAAATAATGAAAATTCAGCGAAGAAAACTTTCTTTTAGACGAAATCGTTTACTTAAGCGATACATTCGTATCTATAGTTGTATAGTCAAGTCAAAAACGTATACACTGCTGAGGCGTTGGTGATTCACCAATTCAAACCTGAGCTGTTCGTTTAAAAACGATACATCCAACCTCTCATCCTTCCTTGACCATAATACCCTTCTGTAACGTATATTTAGCATACAGGTCTTAATACAAAACCACATTTGACCTTATTTATTTTTTAACACAACCGACACATACACACTAAATTTCAACACCACTACATATTGCAAATGCGTACATTTTTCATTCCTACATTATAAAGCACACTTTTATACAGTGACAGGTTATAAAGATTCACGTTGACCAAGAATAACTTGACACTGACATTCAGATCTATTGTGGTTTTGATTGTACTAAAAATATTCTGCATTGTTTCCTTTGTACTATTTAAACTTGTGGGAATTTAATTCGGTTATTTAATAACTCTGAAGAAGTGGCTCACATTTAGTCACGAAACGTCAGGACTAAAACGTTTTAATCATTGTGATATAACAAGAAACATTTACTACGAATTCCCTACTGAATGCTTAATTTCTTTGGAACGATCACGTCCAACCTTGGCATTGATACTTGTTTATGTTTAAGTTCTTATTACAAACATTATATCGTCTATACACTTCATTCCCAAAACACATTCTGCATTCTTCAAAGTAATTCTTTAGTTACTTTAATACTTTGATTATTCAGTTTATTTTGATTTTTATGTGTTCATAATAATGAATTGCCATGTTAGGATAACATTTAACCTGTCATAACCTTATATGTTAGAACCGTTTTTCGATTTACTATTATATATATTCTTAGTATATAATTAATATGTAACTGGATTACTATGTCTATATAAACCGTTTTTCAGAAGCTTTCGTTCAACGAATTAACTGTTGTCATATGAGTTATTATTGCTAATTTATTGCAAATCTATTACTTACACATTACCTTTTTACAGCCACTATTGGTTTATTTATTTATAATTGTGATATTTTATTTCACAATACTATTTAGTTCAGTATGTTTGTAAAGCTACATTTGCTTTAAGTATAATAATATAGACCGGCTGCTGACTTCTCTGTTGACTCAAGATAGGATATGAGGAAGGGTTTACGAACTATGAGCTAAGCTGTAAACGGAAGAACAGACGCAGGATAAAAGAAGTTATATTTGAAGCTTCGATCGGTTAACTGGATACGTAATCTTTATTAGCTTTTCAAGACACAATATGACTTCATTCCTTTTACATATTTTTAAGAGCTTATTACATATGGCTTTAAAAATATTGTTTTTGATTTCGTTGGCTGTAAGTAGGTAGTTATTTATAATTATTATCAACATTGCATGTTCTTCTATTTTATCGACTAAAATGCAAATATTACTTAATTCATAAATTCTCTTTTCAAAGTTAAACTTGTCTGATTATACAAGCGTTTTAATAATTATATTAGTAAAATAAATTTTTTTTGTATAACCCATTTCTCATAAAAACTTCAAAATAAAGGAGCATATATTTAAGGCATATCGAATGAAATGAATTAACTTCAACCCACATGGGTTACTGTGTTTAATAAAATAAACACTATTACAGTAATAAACATACATGTATTTTGTAAAAAAATATAATAAAAGAATAATTTTGATCTGAAATGATCATTCATACGAAAGCAATATCACTATATTTGCAAGGGTTCAAAGATTTTATTAAAATAGTCATTTATATTTAGAATGTAGCTTTCCTATCCAAAAAGTCAAAAAAATGTTTATTTCACAGGTTGAAATCATGAGTCAATTGAAGCTAGACCACCATGGAAAACCTGGAAGCACTGGACGGCCGTTTCGTCCTAGTATGGGACTTCTCAGTAGTGCGCATCCACGATCCCGCACCCAGCGGGATTCGAACCCAGGACCTGCTGGCTTAGCGCGCGAGCACTCAACCACCAGACCACTGCGAAGCCAGAAGGTCCTGGGTTCGAATCCCGCTGGGTGTGGGATTGTGGATGCGCACTACTGAGGAGTCCCATACTAGGACGAAACGGCCGTCCAGTGCTTCCAGGTTTTCCATGGTGGTCTAGCTTCAAATGACTCATGATTTCAACCTGTGAAATTTCTATAAATCTCCACAGAACCCATTCTGATAAAATGTTTATCTTTGATTTTAAATATTACTGTATGCAGTGAATCTTTTATCATTTTCTGGCCTTATTTTATCTAGAATTTGAATTATTGAAAGAGTTGAACTATATTTGCCTCCGTAGATTATTCCCGTTTATCTTTTCCTTTTTTGGTTTTGATTTCACTCTGTTTTTTTATTACCTCGCAATGGTATCCTTCTTTCTAGGTATCAATGCCAAGGTTTGATTTGATAGTTTCAAATAAATTGAGTATTGGGTAGAAATTTAATAATAAATATATTTTTGTTATATCTCAATGAAGCAGTGACCAGTGGATTTCAACCGAGTCTGTTGTGAGATAGTAACTCACTGAACACAGGGGTGGATATATCGCTTAATTTCGTGTATTAGTTGAAGTTAGACATTAGCACCGTTGGATGTCGGCTCATTGTTCTAATGGTTAAGTTCTTGCGTGCGAGACTGATGGATCCTAAGTTCGAACCTCGTGAGCCGGCATCGTGGATGCGCATTGCTGAGGCGTCCCATAGTAGAAAGAAGCGACCGTCCAGTGCTTCCAGGTTTTCCATGGTGGTCTAGCTTCAATTAACTCATGATCTCAACTATTAAATATATCCCAATGAGTAGAAAAATTATATTACTAATGTTTCACGACTAAATGTAAGCCACTTCTTCAGGGTTAATAAATAAGCGAATTAAATTTACACAAGTTCAAATAGTACAATGTAAAATGCTTACTATTTTTAGGTGCCTTATTCTATCGAAATTTTATGTGAATTATTATCGGGAAAGATTAACAAAAAAAAACAATGAGTTCAGATAGTTAATCATAGCGTTTGAAATTCATCTTCCGAATGAATAAATAATTCTTTTTTATATAAAATAGTCTTCAGTGAATGAGATTTTATTGTAAGTTGTTCACCACTTATTAGTTTAATAAACGTCAACGACAAAATATAATGGGAAAGTGATTTTGGACATTCGTTGCCTTTTACTCAATGATTAGAAATGTGTTTCTTATTTTCTGATTGATTGTTTGATGGTAGAAAGTAACTTTTTAAACTATTCTTTTCGTTTAAAGTTAAAATATATTAGGCTCAATGCTTAACCAAAAAAGCAGTTGCAGTGAAAATTCTGATACAGAGGTTTAGGACAAAGATGAGCAAAGTGGAAAAATATTTTTTGCTACTAATTTTTTATTGTAGCTCCATATCAATACATATACACATGATTCACAACAAGAAAGGCGTTACCAGTGGAGTTCAGTCATTTTGAGCATGAAACAGTTATCCACTAGAAACACTGGAAGATGGCAGTGCGGTATCACGAACTGACTAAATTTCTGTTTGTGTGCTGGCTGGGTGGTCTCTTGAGATCAAGCGATTGCTCGCAAAACCCATGATTTCAGGCTCAATACCTGATGATGTCACTTATGTGCACTGATGGTCTAGCTAAAGTCACTTCATAATTTAACGACTATGAAAATAAAGTAATATCGATTGATTAGCAGTACTAGAATTTCTCAAGTAATTATAAAAATAATATTAAATGATTAGCTTAGTGATTAAAAGAAATATAATACGGTAATTGTACTAAGCAAAGTAGCTATTTGTTAAAACATAATTAAATGGCTCCCAGATTGCATAATATTTAATAAGAGGGTCGATAAAATATTTTGATGAAAAATCAATTTTATAATAGTCGTGTAAGTATCAAGACATGAATATTGAAATTATTCAGTAACTTGAAACGTGAAAAAAACGTCAAGAATTTTAATGGAGTTATACTCGACTAGTAATATTTTATTATTGTAAATCATATATATATGAGATGGTGGAAATTTTTAGCTCAGATGGATGATTTTGATGGGGTTTTGTTCTCTGAGCTGGATAGTTTGGTTGTGTCAGCTAATCTCCATCCCATTGGCCAGTTCATTTGAGGTCTGCATTTTACACTTGATGGTGGAACATGCTGACGAAGACACTCATGAAGGAAATACAATTGTTCTCGAGTAAAAGCCTACCTTTTGGCGAAATTCTCCCATTTTCGAACAACGCGAATCGTACCATGCTCATATGATTTTGAGATGGTGGAGATTTGATGGTTTGATCTAACCATCCAACTCAAAGAACAAAACTCGATCAAAACATATGTTTAAGAAGAGTTGGATGATGGCCAGCAGTGGAATCTAGGACGCGTGTCTCGTCGTATTTAGGACTCGTCAGTTAGAGGTACCTGGACTCCACTGCTAGTTATCATCCATCTCTGCCTATATCCTTGTGACTTTATAGCATTATCGAGACAATCCTCACGCTATGCATGTATCCCAGAAAACCCTAATAATCCTAAACATCACTGGGAAGATTTGAACAACCAATACAAAAGATATATATATTTACCCCAGTCTACAGCTATGAAGAAAAACTAGTTAAAAAGTAATACCTTTTAGTTACGTTGGTCTGTATATGTAAAATACAGTCGTTTCATCAACAAAGTCATAAGATAAAAGTGTTTAATGAGTAAAATAAACGAGTATTTATCATCATAGGAAAACGTATTAATAATAAATAGAATACATTAATTCATAGACTGTTTGAGGAAATATCGATTTATTGCTTAACTTATCCTCATAATTTATGCATAATATGTGATGAGACATTTTGGTTCACAAATGTTTCGTCTATGATCTTTACTTTTCATACTATTAAACAAATATGTAGTAATAGTAGTAGTAATTTTTCGTTTTCTATAAACTCAGTTATTGGCTTTTTTTATTATGTTGTGCGTTTTCAAAATTATTTGTTGTTATGAAGTTTCGAGTTCACAGTATAGATTTCTAGTGCTTTATCGTTGTGATAGCATAATGTGTTTAATTTTATAAATTCTGTCTGTACAATAATTAATGAATAAATCCAAACGATTAATCCGGCTGTAATAAGGTGAATGGAATATAATATGAGTAACGATATTCAGACGTGATTCTAACAATTCTTTTTTTAATACTCTGATTCGAATCCCTTAGCAAGCATCAGGTCTCCCAAGATTTAGGTATACACTGTTGAAAAGTGTCAACTAACAGACCGTAGTCCAGGATTTCTTGTTTACCACATCCAACCAACTAACAACTGGTACTAGTACACGTAACGTTAATTCACCTAAATTGGTGATATCACAATTTATGTAACATATATAACAAATATGGCATCGACCACTGCCCATCGATCAATCTGTTGTGCTTGTGTAATCTGTATTTTTTGATACATCACTTTGTCTTGTTTTAGCACGTATCACTTCAGATTATCTTTTAAAAAAGTGAAAATAACAAATATTGCATTCTACAGGTTTTGTGCTGTCTAAGATAAATATTTTAATCGTGAATCTCCCATAATCTTTCTGCACAATGTCATCAGTACATAGTTTGAAATGAAGTGAGTATTTAGAATTTCTCCACAATTAACTAACAGAGTATTCTGTTGACATGGATTTTGATTGCTTACTGTCGTTTACTGTTATCGTTGTTTACATACTTATTTTGAATGTTTTCTTCTCTGGCTTAATCTCTTACCATCCAGCTCGTTAAATAGAACATCTTCCTCTGAGCTTTTGACTCACATCCTCTCATAGCTTACATTTATCTATCAAAACTAATCTCTCAAACCAAAAATCAAAACAGTGTATCTTTTTCCTTGATAGACATAGTGCGTGTATTTTCGGTCATGTGAACATGAAACCATACATATTTTAGTCTTGTAACGATAACTCAAATATCATTGCATTAATTTGTAGTTTAGTCATCTATCTCTGAAGGTCAATGTAAATGTATGTGTAGTTATTATACTCTGTAAACAATATAGTATATAGGTATAAGTTGTAGCCATTAAAATGCAAATAAGTTTTTAATTGGAATGTAATAACAGTTCATTTGAAAATGAGTTGACCTGTTCAGACACTTGGTTGTACAACACGAAGTCGTTTCCTTTTTAATAGAATTGTGTAAACACTATGTGTATTTTGTGTGTATGTGTGTGCTGTATAATCTAAGCTAATGAATGTATTCATAACATATACACAATACAAGCATTTGTAACAAATAATAGGCTTTCATCTTATCTTGAACGAAACTAAATCATTCATATAGATTGTTACTGACAACTTCATTATGCTAATGACGATCACACATTTGAATTTATAAACGCAACGCACTAGGAATATCTCTTGGAAAGAAATTTTTGTAAAGTAGTATTAACAAAATGGATAATTTATTTCACATTTTCAATTTATGAATAATTTCAATAGTTGAGATCATGAGTTAATTGAAGCTAGACCAGCATCGAAAACCTAACTCATGATCTTAACTATTGAAATTACTACAATCTCCACAAAACTCCTTCTGATACTTATGAATAATTATTTCGGTAAATCTGTTTTAGAAAAACGCGTTTCGTAAGCTGAAGATTTATAAATACCCTAAAGTTTAAACTCCCTTTACAAATTCTGAATTTTGTTCCTTACGGAGTCGTAAATACAAACTGCTGAGGATTAGTCCTACACGGTGACGAAACATCTGTACAATCCTTCTTGGCTTTCAATGGATAACTTACTTAGGTCGGTCTGTGATCTCAAAAGGCGTAAATAATTGTGTTTTATTTGATTTACTAAATAGACAACCGAAATATAAATTGTGATCAAGAAATGTGTTGAATATTTTGCTTTCTGTGATATAATATTGAATGTATTTTATGCCTTTTTTGAAAATAGATTTCATCGATATTTCTTCAGTCTTATTTATGGGTTTAAACCAATAGGGTAAATGAATTTACTATATATACATATACAAAATACTTGAAAAATCTTAATACATTACATTACATTACGTTGATGTCTGTATAATTATTATCTAAAAACCTATTATTACTCCATATGTATATAAATATCCCCTATTTTGCCAGGTTGTCCATCGTGATCTTAAACCATCCAATGTATTATATGCAGACGATTCTGGTGATGCATCTTCCCTGAGAATATGTGATTTTGGTTTTGCAAAACAATTGAGAGCTGAAAATGGTCTTTTAATGACACCGTGTTATACTGCAAATTTTGTCGCACCAGAAGTAAATTGCTTGACAGTTTTGATTTTTTTTAAATCGTATTTGTGTTTAATTTGCTTTGATATGGAACCATCAGTAAGAAAATTAAAGCTTTATAATATACTGCTTATTTATTCACTTATTTATTTAGCATAAGATACCAACCCGGTGCTTCTAATGTTCATGTTCACGGTGGTATCTGAAGATCTTGGAACCGACCCCTTTGTGTGATCTAGGGTACATTCTTCTAAGGAGTCCTGCATTGAGGCGAAGCAGCTGTTTAATGCTCTCTGGTTTTCGTTTGCACACACGCTGGAATCAGTCTCTGGCAAATAAAAACTGGCAATTTATTCAGACATTTTAGTTAGTTTTAGAGAAGATTAAACCTTGGTTGACATATTCCAGTCAAGGATAACTAATAAGATGCCCGATAAACGTGAAGGACCAGCCTTAAAAAAAGAAATTGAGAAAACAATTAACATCAGTCAGTTTGTATGACATATTGGTGTATTGGTAAAAAAACAATCGAAATGAGTTGGTTGTTAGGAGTTAATCACTCTGCGAATAGTCTAGTGTTAACTTCAAATCATTTAAATGATTTCAGTTCGTCTGTTTTATTGTTTGTGGATCCTCCACATCCATCAACTCGCTTAAATCGCCGGGCATTCGATTTTTGTTCCCTCAATTACGTAAACAACACCCCCGCCATGAGAATGCAGTGTGTAGGACTTTTTTAGCAGTAATTTTATGCACGTGGCCATGTTAGAGCATTTAAAGAAAGAGAGAGAGCTGACTCTCCCCACTCTTGTCCGCACCAGGACATTTGTGGGCTAATAACTTTTTATAAATACACAAACTACTTTATGCATGTATACATCATTATTTACTATTATTATTATTATTATTACGTTTTGAACTAATTTTCACTTGTGTATGTATCACTTTTCATTCATTTGTATATCTTTACTCTTCTTATATTTTTTTTACATATCATCATCAATGCATAATAATATAGGTGTTAAAAATGCAAGGTTATCATGCTGCATGTGATGTATGGAGTTTAGGTGTATTAGTGTATACAATGTTATTTGGACAAACACCATTTGCAATTAAACCAAATGAATCATCTGAAGTAGTTTTATCACGTATAGAATCTGGTCGATTAGATTTAATCAATAATAATTGGAATAAAATATCTGATTCAGCAAAAGTATGTATTATAATTTATTATTTTTTAAAAAGAAATTATGTATATACATTTTAATATATATATCACAGGTTGAAATCATGAGTCAGTTGAAGCTAGACCACCATTGAAAACCTGGAAGCACTGGACGGCCGTTTCGTCCTAGTATGGGACTCCTCAGCAGTGCACCAGGACGAAACGGCCGTCCAGTGCTTCCAGGTTTTCAATGGTGGTCTAGCTTCAACTGAATCATGAATTCAACCTGTGAAATTTCTAAAACTCTTCACAAAACCCATTCTGATATATATATCACTGTACAATTGTGAAATGAATGCATAATGTTAATTCAATTCATTATATAAATGTGAATAATTTATTCTAGAAAATGACATAATATAAACTTTATTGTGTATATTAATTATTCTTATTTCTTTCAAATCTTCAAATCACATGAACTCATTATTGAGGTGAAAAACAAAAGAAATTAATGCCAGAATGATGCCTTATTCAACCATTATTTAACTAGTCAACATTAATAAATAACCTCCATTCTATTTTCTGAAGGAAAACACGCAAACACACACACGCACACACGCAAAATAATAGAAATTATGCATAATGTCTATAATTTGGCAACAACAACAACAAAAAAAAATGCATGACCTGATTACATCGAACTAAACATATAATTTAATTTCCTTGTTTCTTACTTTTTCACCTATAAATCAATATAAATGGTATTGTTTCGTTTTAAGTCGAGATGAAATGTTTTGTTTTAAACCGTATCATTAAAAACATTCAGTCAAGTTTGGTCACTTAACAGCAAAGACATTTTAAATCAATTATTTCATATATATATAAAATTCAGTTTGAAATAGTTTGGATTATTCTGTTGTTGATACTATTTTTACTAACATTTAATGTCTTTTTTGGCATACATGCATACTGTATGGATTGTTTTGATATAGCCATTATGACAGAAGATAATATAGAATAAATGAGATGGGGCTAGTAGTGGTATCCAGGATTCTCGTTTCGTCTCATCAGGGACCCGTTATATAAGCGAATAATTATTTGGATTCAAAAGCTAAGTGAATAGTCGTTGGTGAACGATACTATATTTACGTTTTAGAGTGAACACTAACCCTGAGCTGCAGGCAAATTCATCTGATAAGTCATTGATCGAACAAAATACATGTCCTTGATTCCATTGCTAGCTACAATCCATGCATTCTATAGTTTTATTTGCTCTTATTTATTTTAAAAAGATAACTTCCTTGTTATGTTTCATCTGAATAATTATCGCATTTACATGTACAGCTTCATGATATGTTTTAAGATCTTGATAATATGGCGAAAATTATGAAATTTACACTTGATAGAATCGTACACTTAAACACTAGATAATACGATAAGAGTACCAATAGACCTGACAATAGATAATAGGATCGACTTGCGAAGTACTAGACTAGACACTAGATTATGTGATATGCATAATACAATTATCCCATTAAGAACCAGATATTAGAAAGAACAATAGTTTATCGACACAAGTACAAAGTAGTCAAATGTAAGTTAAATCCCAGTAGAATCTGCAGTGGAATGAACATACAATATTATATTGTCTCATATATTTATGTATCCATCTTCTCTCATTAACCAATCACATCTCACTTTTACCGATACATGAAAAGTGATGATGTATTATATATACTGTAAAATTTTCAATTAAAACAATTTTCACTATTCCGTACAATACCAGTCAGCTGACTACCGATAACATAAGTTATTCAATGCCTTCTATGAAAATTTTAACCGGTTTATACATTGTTAAAGAGGAAACAGAAAATATACAACTAATATTAGTAATACCAGTAGATTAGACTAAAAGGACAATTGTTATTCACATTTGTAATGTGAATAATAGTTTTTTTGAAATTTTCACGTAGATGTCGCAGTATGTGATATGTAACATTATATTAGTTGAAAGTTACCGATCTATGTTTATTGCACAGTATTGGTGTTTTGGTGTATTTTTTATTCCCTTTTAACATTCACTGCTTTTGGGTTGATTGTTCACTCATTATATATACAGAGATGCGTCTTTTCCAATACTAATGAAAGATCTTATTCATACTGTTAATGCAACTGAATTATACGTATTTTCCAAGATTTTCCTTCTTTATGTGTCTGTATAAAACACATGCCCAGTAAGCAAAATAACTCAAGTGCCAATAAGTTATTGTTTGACGAGAAAATGTATGTCTATAGTGAAATAATGCACTTTTCGACTTTGTGATATTTTACATTCTTAGTTTTGTTGTTTATGTTGTTTTTGCTGTTTGTACCAAATTATTTAATGACGTATATGTTTCGAAAGTCAACTGTTTATCTACTCTTCATCTTATTCAATAAAATGAATAATTTGAAACGATAATAATCTTTAACCTCATCTAAAGTATTTATTGACGGGCTAAATTTGTCCGTAATTTTTGTGAGGATTGTTGGTGCTTTCTAATGATTGCTTAGATAAATTGAGTCCATGACAAACTATTCTTCATTTTATCAACATTTATCTTATTAAAAAATATTCTTGGGATACATTGTTTTCCATTCTATACCTACAATCTGTATGAATACACTACCAGGACTCTAATTTATGGACTAACTAATCACATTTAAAATAGTGACTCTTCGATATCTGCACGAAATTCATTTATCTATCTGGCTAAATAACATTTTTTTTCATTATAATTGATTCCCATTCGTAATAAAAACCCTTACTCTAATTCCTAAGTTCTACTTCAAATTCCTCACATCAATCTAGAACTCTATTTAAACCATAATAAGTGAGCGAAGTTTCTCAAGTCTCGTTTATAATCATACATAGGTCGTTTATAAATTATAGTTTCATCAATGTAATTTTTCCAAATGTCACAACATATTTAAGGAAAGTAAATTATAAATTAAATTTTCTATCTTAATTTCTTGATAAGATTGATTTTCACCATTATAACGTGTTTATAATTTAATTGTTAGAGAAGTTGATATAATTATAGCAAATGTTGACCTACTCTATTACATATTCTTTCAAATAGTTATAGATAAATACCAATTGTTTATTACTATTATACTTATATTTCCAATAGAATCATTTACCTCATTACAATTTGCTCTGCCAACGCCGTGCTTTCGCTGTACTGAGACTCTTCATTCCGTCCGACAAATTTTGAGGCCGTGTTCCTCAACATACAACTTACAAGTAATGTTGTGAGTACCGTTCACTACACTCATGACACCATATAGTAAGAGAGATGGAGCCCTTGAATAAACAATTAGCAGTAGTTTATTTTTATTGTACATTAATACTACTTAATAGTGTGTACTAACAATTTCATGTCTAATAAAACGCATAACAATCAATTTTCGTGATTAGTATATTATTTATGAATCTAAGTTTTGCAATTGATTAGTTCACATTCTCAATTGTAGTCAATTTGGGGTGTTATGCAGTCTTTACGTAATATCATATGTCGGTTACTGTCTCACTCTGAACTTGGATGACTGCATAAATATTTCTATTGGAATTTCAAAAAATAAATCTTCAATTAACACTTAATAGTTGTTCATTTCAATTTATGGCCTGAACTATCGCCAAACTATACAGATCTGAACAAAGTATTTCGTCGGCATAAGAATGGGTTGGAGGAAAACTGGCGGTGTTTAAACCTGGACATGGCAATAACTCAAGAAGTAATTGACTCCTGATTAAGTCCAGCGTGGTGAATTTGACTAACGGGAGGAGGAGATGCTAGTTGATATGGTTCGAAGTTGGTTGCTGTTCAGCGAATGCATTCGCTTGTTCTCTATCTTCAGTTTTCAAGTTATTTTATACTTCCATTCATATTCTTCATGACCAATTTCGGCATTGATATTACCACTTCATTGTTTCTCTTTGTAATTTCATCCTTTTGCTCTGATATCCTGTGGCGAATTGGAACACATATGTAAGCATATGTTCAGTAAGTTCTGCGTTGCGAATGCCGGATTGACTGACAAAATATTTCCAATTGCTCTAACAGTTACACCTATTCTGTTACCAGTGAAGTCAATAGCTTATTGTTTTTAAAGTTTTTTACACTGAACACACATAGGTAAACTTTTTTAATATTTGAACTTCGATTTAATTCGTTAAATACTGTGATTGTCGTTTATTCATAACAATCAATGGAATATGATATAAATGTTCCATACTTTCTGTTTTAAAAACTTTATGAATAATTCATGTTACATCATTAGTGTAGATGTGTGGTGTACGCTGCGTATGCTGTCAGATGTAAGTAGTATGTAGCCACGATCGGAAGTTGTCATGCCTGGGAGCAGAAGATTGAATTAAAGAGAACACAAAGCAAATCGGAGAGCAATTAAAATAAAAACGGAATTAGAGGAATAGTGTAGTAGATAAAGGACAACACAAAGATGTGCAAATGATGTATTTAATGTATGATTTTCATATTTTACTGAAGCACTCTGTAATTTCGCATTGAATAATAAATCGGTTTTCCCCACTTGTGTTCTCGTTCACCACACTATTACTATGAATATGTCTTACATATGTTTATAATTATAATTTTAATATAAATTCTGTAATCATTGTTACTTGTTTAGATATCTAACGAGAAACGTTGTATAAAGAGGTTACTTATTTTTCAAGGAAATTGTAATTGGAAGCCTATTTCTAAATCTGGTGATACTTGAGCAATAAAATTCAGTCATTTTGTCTGATAATAAATGTTTTGTAACTGTGTTGTCGTTTTCCAAACAGGTACTTTAATGCTCTTAGTAATGTTCCCATAACTAAACCATTCATCAGGAATTGATCTTAGACAACCATCGAAAATCATGAAAATCCGGATATCTGTTTCGTTTCAGTTTCCGCAATGCACATCCACAAACCCAACGTGAATTGGAACCAAGGTACTTGAATATCTAAATGAGCGCTTGACGTTTAGACCACCAGGTCTGTATCGATTGGTTTATATGTAGAACTTTATTCACTTCGTGGTATTATGCAACCATATCAAAACGAAATAACTGTCCAATGATTTTTGGATCTCAATGGTTGTCTAACTGCGATCAGTCAGTGATATAAGTTATGAAGTTCAACAATTTTCACAAACAATTTAATAGTAATATTCTGTTTACTGATTATTTCATGGACACTTAAAAACGTCCCCTGATGAGTATTTGAGTTACTTCATTTTCTTTAATTCGTTAACTAACGGAACTTTTTATCTTTACTGTAATAAACTAGCTGATTTGTGTGCGTACTAGCCCTGTTAAGCAATGCAACGAATAAGACGTGCATGAAGTATGCCATTCACATTTTTAATCACTTACTCCTTCGCGTAATCAATAATCATTTTCAGATTAGTGTTACACTTTTGTCAGGAGTGTTAATTAATCATAAAAGTTAGGATAATATTAAATTCACTGACATAATATTCGTATCTACCGTTAAAATAGGTCGTGCTTTTATAGTTCATGATTTTAACATTTATAAACAATTTGTATAAATTCATCCTACCTGTCAATTACAGTTCCTTGAAATCAAACTATTTATTTGTCTTCTTTTCATCCTTTTTTGGAAACTATTAAAAATATCATTCAGTGGCTTATTTTAATTAATTCAATTTGTAGAATAAAGTGAATGGATACTATAAGCTGTAAACAGCTTAAGACTTACAATTAGTAATATTTTTTATGAACAGGGTTATACATACCTTAGTCAACGAAATCGAATTCAAATCAAAACGGAACAACAAAGGGTTATGACACAATGGTTAGAAATGATTATTGCTTATTTATTGAGATTGAATTTATATAAAGGGGATAATATGGTAACTAATAATCAATCGACAAAATGAATAAACCATTTTACCAACCGATGAGTGATTTAACGATCAGACCACCTTGTCGGTATGAAATTCAAGTTAACATTATGAGTGAATTTCACTGGAGTGTTTAGAGTATAAATCGAAATCAAAAGATTATTTAATTGACAGACGTTGCATTTAATCATGGCATTAAGAGGTTTATCATACTTTCTCTTTGTGTACAAAAGTCCAGCCAAAAAGCATGTAGTAACAACAGTTTCTACAAAAAGCGGGATATACCGTTTGTTAATTATTTCAAACGTTTTTGGCTCATTCATTCTACGTTAAATGTTTAGTGTTTCCATTTGAAATAGTATACTTTCTTCTAAACACAACTTTTGAGGAATATGTCTCACAGAACCCTGTATAAGATGAGAAGAAATCACCATCAATTAATCTTTCAATAAATTTACTAATGATGTTCACTTACCACTAGTGTTCGACTCTTGTCGATAACGTAATAGTTTCCCAACTTGACTTTTTTTCATAGTTTAAGCGCTTAATCAGCATAATTCACAAAATAATTGTATATCAATCTTTGTGTATATTCCTTAATTTTAAAAATCTAATATACTTTTTGTTCGTTTACACTTTAATTTTTAAATTGAATTTTTTAAAATTAATTTTGATTTGGGAGATAAACAGGGAAATTTGAAGAATCGTTCATCTTATCGAATAATAACTACTTATCTACTTATATATTAGTGACCAATTTTGTTATCTTATTTACATCCACTCATATTTCATTAATGACAAAATTATTTTCAAAAATGTTGAAGTTGAATCAATTAATAATTTGTTTTTTTTCCAAGCTTCTTCTAACTCATTTTTCAATGTATGTGTTTAATTTTGTCAGACTTTAACAAATTCACTGGTTTGTCAACTCCTCTTTTAAATTTCAGTCAGCAACAACGTAGAACTTCATACATACGTACATCAGTTCGAGTTCCTATACCACATTAGCACACAGATACCGTTGTCGATTCAAATCCCGTAGTGGTAGAGGTAGTAAGAGTATAAGCAGTAATAGGAAAGATTAGGGTTTGAAGATATTATTCAAGGAGTACAATACAGTGAAATAAATTTGGAAAGATAAAAAAGGGATATGAAGAATTCAGAAGACTAGAATTTGGGAGAACATAAAGAGTGGATGCACCTGCGCCATTGCAAATGATTTTGAGCCATGTCATTCAAGGTCTCTAACCATCGGTTGCTATCGTCTCACGGATCCAAACCAGGTAGTCTACATCTACCAACATGACTCAGTCCACTTGTCAGTGACTTCATGGACTTGTGCCATCTTTTGTTCTGGCCGCCCCTAACTTTCTTCCAACCCACTCCTATACCATAAAACATCGCACGTCGGGACAGTCGGTGGTTGAGCATACGTAACACGTATCCAAACCATCTCAACTGATGAAGTTTTACTGCTTCATCAATGGAATTGCCATCCCTACCTAGTACCCGTATCCTAACAACTGTATTACTTACTTGGTGGTCCCAGGATATACGAGCAATGTTTCGAAGACATATGATCGAATACTAGTAACCTAAGAATATCCTCTACTCTTACCGGCCATGTCTCACTGCCATAAAGTAGAACAGAACACTTTTATATCCAGTCAACACCTTAGATAACCAGTAAAAACAAGGAAGCGTTAGATACCCGTTTTGTCCCAGTATATGGAACTCCTTATAAGTGCAAATTCCACGACCACCTATTGAGGAGTATCAAATCCAAGAAATTTCGGTTTCTTAATGTGTACTTAACCTTTAGATTACTGAGTCAGCATTTAATGGTTTCCTTGTGTAACTTAAATCAATGCTTTCTTGGTTTTTCAGTGATAGTAAACCATAATATCCAACCATCTCTACAAATCCACTATAGTTATTTTTTGTACTATCTGTCATTTATACTCAAGATTTATAAGTTTTCTACTCTTTCTATAACTTTTGATTACATTTGTGTCTTTCATATGTTTGTTTAGGATTTATTGACAAAAATGTTAAATCCTGAACCATCTAAACGTTGTACAGCTAGCGCGATCTTATCACATCCATGGGTTAAAAATCGTGATCAACTGTCACCAGAATTATTGACCGACGTTTTGTTAAATGATGTCACTCAGACAAAAGTAAGTGCTTGTTAATTAATTATGTAGTGTTTTCCTTTTTCTTGAAGTTTGAAATTAATAAGAACCAATAAGATACTTACTTACTACTTATATTATCGGCTGTAGTTTTCCTTAGGTTAGTGTATATCTAATACTAATTATTAATAATTTCTAAAATCTATACTTTTTTGGTTTTTAAGTTTTATTCAACTTAAATTGATTTTCTTGCTAAATATGAAGAAGAATCTAATTATGTATATTGTCTAATTTTTCTCTAAACTTTATTTCATGGTATAAATGAATTTGAACTAATCAAACTATTTGAAAACACTTGAACTATTCAAATGTGATAAACGAAAATTCACCCATCCATTTTTAATAAGCGTTACTTTTTGTGACTAGTTCAATAACTTTCAAAATGAGGATATTTATAGCATGTATATTATTTATTTATATACGTATGCCTGAAGGTTACACGGTCACTATAAGACCTGAATATATTGAACCCAATCTCTTTTAGGAATCATGGGTGTATACTGTTTGTAATAATAATAATAATAATAATAATAATAATAATAATAATAATAAAAAATTAACAATCTTCATAACTCTTGCATAGAAAATAATCATCAGTTACGTATTTCTCGTATTTTTAGTTTATTGTAAATATTACTCTTAAATTACATTGCTCTAAATAAACGGAATTTCTCAGTAATAATAGTAAATTATTCCTTTATCACAAATGTTTTATTTATGTTATAGAATTCAGTCGAAGCTACATTTAGAGCATTGAATAGTACTAGTAAAATACCAATACTTGAACCAGTTGAATGTTCTACATTAGCTCAACGTCGTGTTCGTGCCAAATCGATTTTAACAAATCAAATCAAAGTAGAAGAAACGCATTGAATTTTCAATGAATCTATTGTAATAAGAATAAAATTATTGTTTTATTATTTCCTTTTTTTCTCTCTTTTTTTACATATTTAATCTCATTAATATTCCATTTCACTCATTCTGCATTCTTTATCATTTTTTTCCACATATTTGATTATTATCTCTGTGTTTTTTTTTTATAATTTTATTTCATTGTACATGTAAAATATCTGCCACTAACATATTTTTGTTGTTATATAAATACATAATTCAATTAGAAACTGTAAATTTGATATGAGAACATTTCTTTTTTCCCGCTCGAAATGTTCAATTATATATTTTTTGTTGTTGTTTGTTAACGACATTGTATCTAAATAATTTACATTGATATGCTTGTAAAATGTAGACTATATTAATGCATATATTGTTACATATTTTATACAGAACATCCTTTATTCACTATCAACGTATCAACTTTTAATTCATAAAATGATATCAATGAGTTTACCTGTATAAAAATAAACACGTTTCGCTCATAATAGCCTTATCATTTAGTATTTTGTTATTACTATTATTATTACCAATGATATGATTGTGATATATATGTATACCTTAACTGTCGTCTTTTATTCAAATTACACAATGACAATAAATGGTTTTGTTTGTTTTTTATTTCTTCATTATGAATGTGTGAAATTTATGGTAATGTTGTATACGTTAGAGTTAGATAGTTTATTTGTACAGTTTTCATTATCATTCTGAATAATATCGTTAGGATCTACTCAGTATAGAAGTCATTAAGTTATTATAACTGGAAATTTCATTTCTATATGAAGAAGACGCTAATGATGTTGTCTAGATCTATATTGGGAGCTCTGCAAACAAAATATCTAATTTAAATAGCCACACAATTTCATAGGTGTTCATCCACCGTTGTTGCAAGGTTTCTCTATCATTTCAAAATGTAAGCGTTACTATGTTTATACTTTCATCGTCTAGTCATATGAAGAGAGAGAGGGAAGTGTTTTTTTTCTTTTTTTATTCTGCAAAGTGATGTTTCCTTTTTCTTTAATTTGACATATTTCATTGTTTTAAAAAGGAGTTTCGTGTTCTCACACCATCTTATCTATATTCTGTTTTTATTTTCTTAAGCAAGCTGTTTTTGTTCAGTATTTCATTGTAGAATATATATACATATAACATTGTTGTTTTCAGTGTCAAATATTTAAAAACAAAATAATAATTCATAAAATATGAATCGAAATACTGTTTTATAATTTCTCAGTAAAATCATGGGCATTGTCACATAGTATTTATCCATTATCTTTTAGTAATTCTAAAAAAATCGCAGGTAATTGTTAGTAGTAACGTCTCTGATTGTGAAGCTCAATGACACGGAGTCATATCCTTCAGAAAGCATCAGTTCCCTCAAGATTTCAAGCACACTTGGCTGACGAAAGCCACTTAGCTCAAATATATTGGTTCAGAGTTTCCTTTCGACTAATTACATCCACTTAACATTTTACATATTAATACATGTAAATAGATATGAACACACGAGGAATACATTATTCTCTATGATACAAGTTTATGATATCTTATAGATAAATGTTGATTGACTACTGTATAATTTTTTAGAAATCAAAATATTAAACCGCGGGCTTTTTAATTATTATGTGTGGAGATCAGTTGAAATCGGGACATATATGTATGCTGACGTTTTGCATTAAACAAATGAATCATTTATTCAATTTAATATGTCTTAACTTCAACTAAATTTACAAACACATAACCAAATTATTAACTATTATTTTTGTTTTGTTTTGCGTAGGTTTCATATGATCTTTTATTTTTTTATTATTATTATACAGAAGTTAAATAATTCAAAATAGTCGATGAAATTTAAATGTATAAGTGGGTGTTTGTTAATCTGTTATCATTATGAACCAATTCAATAAAAACTAAGGTTTAGATTATGTATCATGATTAGATGAATAAGTGTTATTCAATATTCTATCTTATATACCACATTATGTCTACGCAAAATAATTCGGATCCGTTGGCCGGACACTATTAGCAACAACCAACTGTGGGAAAGAACAAACCAGATCCCAGCGGAAGTAGAAATCAGGAAGAAGCGCTGGAACTGGATAGGACACACATTGAGGAAAGCACCCAACTGCGTCACAAAACAAGCCCTCACATGGAGTCCTCAAAGCCAAAGTAGGAGAGGAAGACCAAAGAACACATTACGCCGGGAAATGGAGATAGACATGAGAAAAATGAACAGGAATTGGATGGAACTATGACTAGTCCTATTGTTTGGATTCCCCAAAATTCTTATCCTACCGATCTTGATAATTGTTTTCTTGGTTTTTTTCTCCATAAGGATTCTCTCGTTTATGATTTGCAATTATATTTCAAAAACGTGCGATACTGACTTATTGAGCCCTCAGTAAATCAAGTGAATTATCCCTAAGAATTCTAAATAAAATATCATAGCAAGTAAACAAATCAAGAAATCTAATGTAAACGTTTTTTTTCACTTAAACGATAACCATAAACTGCAACTGATGTAACACAACAATAAGAAAGATATCTCTCAAACAAAAACAAAGATTTAGTGATTAACTAGTTCTTCATTGTGCTGTAAGCATTTGATGCTGATAACTAGTTAACTCGTATAACAGTTTGACCAAGGTTTGGTGTCAATTTAGTTCAGAAATTGACCTTAATCGAATGCATTTGGTAAAAATGAGGGAAATATATACCTCACACTTAAATTCGCCTTTGTTCTGACGAAGTAACGTGTTTGTAGAACGGCGTAATCAGGTCGGATGCGAAGATTTAATTAGATACATATATGTCATACAATATTATCCTCAAACAATATATAGTTGTAAACTAAATAAAAGACATTCTGAAGTTGGCTACAAGCCAACTCCCATTTACCATCAATAAGTGATAGACGGACATACGGATAGACAAGACACATCTCTTTGTGGTAAGTCCGTCTATCCAATCAAACAATAATTTGCCAATTGTGTTTCATTGATCGTTGTATTAATTTATTAGCCTATTGATTTTAATTCTTCAACTTAACTGTCATCGAACCAAGCATAAAAATATATTCTAACTTACCATAAAGTCCTTCATGTGATTTAACACTCATGCACCAACAATGCATTATAGTGTTAATTTTCATTTATTTCTTATTTACAGTCTTTGTATAAAATACAGAACTCGTTTTGTAGGCTTACTTATTGTGAATTTTCGTAAGACCTTAGAAAATTTATTCTAGAATAATAATGACTTCCTATAACTTAGCAGTCATTAACTAAACAGATAAGTTCTCGAATCAGTAAACCAATGTTTAAATCTTAACCTTAATAATTTCAAACACATTAAACTTGTAAATGAGAATTTCAAAGATTTGTCAAATGTTCAAAAAGCTATGACTTTTGCGTAATAACAGTGGTATCGCGAGAAAGTTTCAATCTTTTATAAAACTAGGTACTAGTTCATTTCCATCTTTAAATACATTGTGGTCTGAATAAATCTCATTGGTTAACAGTGTAACTATGGGGTTAAGTGTCTTTTTGTGTGAGATATCCCGACCGTTGTTGCTACCTTGACGTGGTGGTCTGGCTTGCCTATCGTGATAAAGCAACCGAGCTATACTGGCTGGAACAACTGTTCCTCAAGGTCCTACCATTTCAAATAGGTCGGTTGAAGAGCGGTAAGACTTAAAGCAACAAACCCAAGGTCCGAAGGCGAAGTCGTACTGCTGACTGTACAGAGATGTGACAGCAATAAGGTGTTTCCTTCAGACAACCAGCATGACAGCGATGCTGCCTTCCCACAAGGAGGGATGGAGTTAGAAAAGGTTGACCCTAAAAATGCACACCTCTCCTTATCCCACGGATATCCGTCTCCGACGGTAGGGTCCCAAAAAGTACGGAGCTAACACAAAAATTACCCATAAAAAGGTCGTGTGTGACCGACCTCAAGCAGTTGTCCCTTGGGCACTGCGATCACGCTCCCAGGTCACTAAGACCACCTCTAATCCAATTTCCTTTTCAGGTACCTCATCCTCCTCTCCTGTGTGAGATATAATGCTCGGTACTAACAAAATATATCCAGTCTTTTTCCATAAACTATCAAATCTCTGAGTGTCATTTTACGAAGTCCTCAAGTCATTTTTTGTTGGGTTTCAAAGAGAATCACATCATGAATGATAAAACACGTAAAAACTTGATGCAGTAGCTGATAAATCTTTGTAAAGTGGTGAACTTCTTACGCTTAAGTATTTTGTTAAACGACGAAACAAACTCATCTGTAGGTGCTTTTGTCTCGAAACCACAACCCACAACAACATAAACTGATAAGGTTTGTAAAAGCCTCATGGGATTTGTTCTGATGAATCATAAACGATTTTCTAAAATTTAACAATCATTATTGAAAAATAAGCTGGTGGTGTTGACAAAACACTGTCATGCGTCAATCAAAGCAGTATTTTAAATTTCTTCGAAGGTCAGTGAATTCAAAAGCAACAACTAAGGTCTGTTTGTAGAGTAGGGCGTTCCACGAAGTTGTATGGAAGTGCGATAACGAACCATGGAACCTGTCCCCAAGTATTACACCAACCAACCATAATTTTATGGTCAATAACAGTTCGTTCGACTTTTATTACTATGGAAACTAGTGGTAGTTGTGTTGGTCTGGCTAGGAAATTCAGATAAGTGAACATTCGTTATACTATGCGAAGTTTACGTGTCCTGGTCGTAGTCTAGACTAAGCCTCCGTTATCTATACGATCTCGTTTCAGAAGTGGTCACAACACTTAGTCTGCATTCCTTACTCATTTACTTGATTTTTTGCAGGATGGTTGCAAAATACATAAAAAAGGAAGAATGCAACAACTCGACTTTACTAAACGTTTTGGTTGAGCATTGCTTCTGAAAATATACAATGATACTTCATAAACTACCACAAAAGTGTGAGCAGTATGCTTAGACACCTTGACAAAAATGAAGGCTAAGTAGGAATTCAGTGCTTCATTATGATCTAGAAGGAAAATACCTCTATTCGTAACCATCTGTTGACGTCATGCCGTTTATATTTCTTCACCATCCAGCTTCCCATTCTCATATTCGATTATTTCTGTATACAATCGAATGTAGTACTTAAGCTGGTCACATTTCATTTTATTCAATACACGATATAGCGGACGAATGAACATATAGTGATAAATTAGTAACTTCGTAAGTATTTGATATTTATGCTGATCCAATATATTTACTGGATATATCTTTACCTTAACGCTTTTGACCAAGCAGCCGCACTGGACCGCGTTTGAGTACGCTGTGTTATGTATTTCGTACAGTAACTCTCCAAGCATATCCACATCCTACCACTCTTGACTTCTGTTTTCATTTAGTTTGGGGGTATTGTTTATTCACGGTTTTCGGATAGTAGCGTTGCCAAGCGCTAAGTGAATATCGTCACATACTGATAGAGTTTAATAATTTGAGTAGTTGAGCACGAATGTCGTCTCATTAAAGGGGTTTGTTGTGATATTTCGTAGGTTCTGCTATGGTAAATCTTCATGTATGGTACTCAAAAAGAAAGCAAAGATCATTAAGGTTATACGGATTAGTAAGTTTGGATAGAAATGGAGACAAACGAACGGCAAGTAATTAAGCTAACAATCAAGAGATAAACATCACGCTTGAACTTTCACTGGAGGTGTCAGGTGTTTTCAGATATGAATACTTTCAGAACTGACACGTTCAACACCAGCGTTGAGTGGGTACCAGCCTAACTATTTTTGAGTGTCACTAGCTGCTACAAATTCTTCCTCTTCAGTCTTGTTCGACCCAGTAGTTAGGTATGAGTTTTTTGTCTATGTGGTACTTCTTACCAGTTCAAAATCACTGTCAGATGATACAACACTACTTGGCACAGACAGCAATATGTAGTCTTGAGATGCGTTCTTGAAGCTTTTTTTACATTATTTTGATCAAAAGGAACTGGTGGTTTCAATAGGGTACGAGGCTAATTTCCAACAATCACGAGTCACAAGTGCTTCCCAAACAAACGGCAGCTTCACAGTTTACTGGTATCAATTAACCACACCTAACCTCCAATAGTTGTCTTATTTCTCATGTTGCGAGTGCGATAGTTGGAAACGACATAACAACATACATAAACAAACATCATGAATCCGATTACCATGTAAGTGAATAAAAGCTTGGGGTCACG